CACCGTAATAGAGATGGCCTCCAACCTAGTAGCAATGGCCTCCACCCTAATTCCATGTTCTACTCTGCTGGGAGAATCCAGTACTCAGGCTGTTCCTGGAATAGCCGGACCGGGACTCGCTGGGGTGTGGTGCCCCGACAAAGGTTCAGCGAGTTGAACCATGCGCTGACGCAGTTCACACAGGAGCTCAAGGCTCAAGGCGTTTTTGAGTTTATGGGATGCAGTAAGCGCTGTGAGGGGAGGGTGGTGGGTTGTGCGGAAACTTTTTAGAGGCATTTCAAGGCACAGAGTTCCCATCGTGCCCGCATACCACCTCTCACCATTCTTTGGTGCAGTCAGCCTATGGGGCTTTAGAACCAAAAGAGTCACAGCCTCATGAACAACGACAGCCTGGTGGCTTCCCTCTTGCACTGGTGGGTTCCCGACCGCATGCGGAGTCGTTTGACATGAGGTCTGTGGTCCTGGCAACACAGTCAGACTTCGCACGGACCTTGACGCCGAACAGCCAGAGGGGCACCGACCATGGCTGGGCAGGGCATTATGTGCTCCTGGGCGGAGGCACGGGGCCTGTGGGAGGATTTGCAACATTTTGCAAGGAGTCGATTTTGAGGAAATATGACCGTCATATTTCTTCGCTTTCTTTGAGGCGCATGAAAGAGAGCCGTGTGACCTTCGAAATACCTCTTGAACTGAAAGATTGCCGATTCAAGTGAGATTCAATATGGGGTGGGTCAAGAGCCCGGATCCCCATACCAGTGTAGGTTGACCTCCTTCGTAGTCCATTCTGTTCCTCCTACAGCCATATTTGTTGGAATTCACATCAGGCTCACTCATATCTGGATCCTTCAGTTTCTTGAAAACAGGGACCGCAAGGAAGCTCCTCCGAGTCTTTCCAAAAGAGAGGGCTAGAGGCGGTCAGATCCTTCGCTTTTCGAGGCATCAAAGGTGGTCAGATCTTCAACCAGTATCCCAGCAGCTTGAAACTGGACTCTGAGCTCGACCTAGGCGGGTTAATGAGGGGGCGGGTCTGGAAGGGCTAGGAAGTACATACTGTCACTCAACGATTTGAGGTCAGGAGATGTATGGAGATATGGTCCCACCTCAAGACCCGTTCTTTGCCAGCAAGCAAAAGCAACATGGACGAGTGCCTGCGCATGGGCTGGAGTATATATATCTTCAAATCAAGCAGTATCTCCTCCTGTCGGGTTGGGTATCCCATTTCGGAACCTTTCTGGCCAAGTGCAAAATCCAACAAAATTCCCTTTGCCTGGAGGATCGCGTTTGGTATCAGGGATCAGTACCTCGTGATCATTCAGAGAGACGTCGCGAACGATGGCATCCTTTTCGTGGCATCCTCTTCGCAAAACCCATCGCAAAACCAAATTAATAGGTATAGTCAGCCGCTGAAACTTAGAATGCGCGTTTGGAAATCCGCAGGCGGATTTATGGACCCTAAAAAACTACCGGAACTGGTTCCCGTACTTTTTTGGAGACCCTTACGGCACTTCGACTTAGAATGCGTGCGGTTTTCTGCATATTTACAGGGATTTGTGACAGATGGTAATGGCGGTTCATCCAGTTCCGGTAGTTTTTTCTCGGATTTCTGCACAGGTGTGCGCTTTTTGGTGATGGGATTGTTTTGTGATGGAACAGCCAAAGAACTTTTCTAATTTCTGCTTTTGAACTTGTGATGTGATGCCTGTGTGGACAGCTCTTGCATGCCTGGGCACTGCCGGTGAAGGAACACGGTGTACATTTATACTTATAGATTGATTATAGCGACGGACTGAAACTTAGAATGACGTACCACTCATCGAAACTCAGGCGAAAACACCCGAAGCGGGGGGAGGACCCCTGTTGTAGGTAAGATTAGCTGCAGAAAGGCTTTTTCGGGGCATCACATAGAACGTCGGCGCCCAAGTGAGGATTTGTACGCACGCAGCGGCTTGCAAACAACATATGTCCCCAGCCTTTGCATGCTGCAAACTGCATACCTACAGAGTAGAAGAACAAAAGGGAAGGACAAGGAAGAGGGTCAAGGAACATGAAGAAGTGGCAGAAATAGGCAAAAAGAAAAGGACAAGGAAGAGGAACAAGGAAAAGGACAAAATTGCCAAGAACGGGACATAGCAGCAGAAAGGAGAAGGAAGGGGAACAGGGAAACAGATGAAGGCAAAAGAATAGGAAAGGAAAAGAACAATGAGACAGGAAAAGGCAAGAGGCAAAAGGACGGGAAGAGGAAGAGGAACGACAAAAGGAACAATGAAACGGATAGGTTGTCCCATTGTCCTCTCCTCCCTCTCTTCCTTATTGCAAATTTGGGGATCAAGACGGGCATTCTAACTGTCCGTCTGTGAGTGTTTGTGTGTATGCATAGATTTGCAAACAACGTGACATATGCGCCCCAGCCTTTGCACGCCAAACCCACAGAATAGGCAAACAAAAGAACACGGAAGATGGAAAATAGCTAAGAACGGGACGTGGCAGCAGAAAGGAGAAAGCAGGGGAAAGGAAACAGAAAAGGAAGAGCGGAAAGGACAGAAAGGAAAAGAACAATGGGACAGGAAAAGAAACGAAGCAAAAGGAAAGGAGAAGGAATACGAAGAGCAAAGGGAAATGCAACGATGAAAAGGATCGGAGAATACATGTTTCACCCAAGACTCAAGACGCTAAGGCCAAGGGCTGTGGGAAAAAGAGCTCACAGCATTGCATTTCACATTCTTTAACCTTTTATGTTTGGGAGCTTATATCGGACCGGTACTTAGAATGCCGCGGGCATTCTAAGATGGAGATGCATTCTATGCGTTTGGAACTCAAGCAGGCATTCTAAGTTTCGATGGTTTAGTATATTTATATATACACATACAGTTATCATATACATAGTGCCAGTAGCAGTGCAGCGAGAGTGGAAAAACCATATACAGCATAGCATGTACAAAGCACACCATGTACAGTGCATTGCGACCATCACTTTTGGCTCAAGACGCCCCATCGGAAAAAGAGTACGTGCAGTTCTATTGCCATGAAGAAGTCATAGGTGATCATCAGTTGTTTTCACTGCAACTTGCTGATTAACACCTACACGCAGGTTATCAGCCGTGCCCGCTCTGGGTAGGAGCTCTTGAGAGACCAACAAACAGTGTGACCGACTATGTCCAGTTCTGGTGGGAATACGAGTGAAGCCTATTCCTTCGCCGCTCCTGGAGGAAACATGTCACAGTCATCTCCTGGCTCAGGAATGACAGGAATAAGTTCTAATGACGCTACCGTGATCACGATGCAACGCGCTACTGGATCATTATCTAGAGCTAGGGATATGAGAAGAAGTCTCAGAACCTTCAGCAGGTCTACCTCACCGAGGATAACTCACAACCGATCTCCAAAGAAGAGTATTGAGAAAGTGAGAATCACCAGCGGTAGCCCTGACCACAGAGAAGCGAGCAGAGAAGTGCAACTGCTGGAAGAACTTAGATCATCAAACATGGCTTATCAAAAACATTCACATTTGCAATCTGGATACACTGACCTATATCAGAGATCCAACGAAGAGTTCGCGAACGTGTCCAATTATGGAAGAGCCATAGAAACGAGACTGCTGCAAGAAATGGTTCAGGAAGACGAGGGTGCAAGAATCAGGATTGAGGAACTAGAGCATAAACTTCGACTTGCTGGAAAACATCTATGGCAGATACAGAGAACTATCCGGAGAATATGTCGAGCGAGCTGCGCGGAGCAAGTGGACAGATCCACTGCTGATCAACTGCAAACACGTATGCTTGCTCTACAAGATGAAAACCTGAACATGTGGGAAGTCGCTGAACAGGCTTGCTTTTGCTTGCTTCCACATTAGCAGCTTCATTGGCCAACTTCTTGAAAGAAAGCCTGATGTGCTGCTGAAGTGTAACCACAGTCTTCGATTGTGCGCTCGGGCTCTATGGCCCGTGCGAATGCATACATCTCATCTTTCTTGGCCCACAAAGGGCGCATTGCAAAAGTTCACCCCGCAACCCCAAATAGAAATGGGGGTTTTGCCAGAAAGGGTAAAATTTTCCTTGTTCAGGCACCACCGAGCAATCGAAAAGAACAAAAAAGCACAAACAAACAAACGCAAAAACCGGCACACTAGTTGGCAAAGACCAAATTCGCCTCACTCCGCATCAGCTGGCTTCTCCTTGCGACGCAAAGATCTCACAAGTGGACCTGGCGGAGCAATGTCTTTGCTTTCCGCCTGAAGCTCTCTGCTAGGTGTGCGTCCATCCAGTCAAAGGCTTCTGGCCACTCGGCTTGCGCTGATTGCTGGGGCCGGACGAATTGTTTTCACAAAAGCCAACTGCGCACTCAGCCTCAAAACGTCAATCTGGGTCTTTTTGTTATGCGTCTCTGTGAACTTTGGCATGGCTTGGCCTCGGTCCTTTTTTTGAATGAGCAGTTTGCAAGAGCAGCGGCCACGGTATGACGAGCGGGTCCCTGTGGATGCGCTTGCCCGCGAGAAGGCGGCTGTATGTGCTCGCTGAGACCAGTCGCAAGCTCTGCCTGTCTGTCAAAGACAAAAGAACGAGTGCTGCAAGCTTCAAGTTCACGAAGAGATTGATCACGAGAAACAACCAACTGACAGACTTGTTGAAGTTGCATGCTCAACTCAGCAAGTTTCTGCTCAAGATTTGGCTGCGCAGCTGCTTGGTGCCGCGGGCGCTTCGGCGGCCAAGACGCCTGTGGACTAGTCGTGCCCGGCAACAAGTCCAGGCCGGGCATGTGGCGCAAGTATGCTTCAAGTCTGGCTTGTACAGCTTGTGGGGCTGCTTCAACTGCAGGCGCTTGAGCTGGGGCTGCAGCAAGACTTCGGCGTCCATCGAGGGCAAGAGCATGGCCATGATTTTTCCTTGGACGACCGCAAGACTGCTTCTGAACATGTCCTTGAGCTGCTGTTTTTATGGTGAACTCATGACTGCAAGTTGGCCATGGCATGTTTTGCTCTGCGCTGGATTTCTACGTTTGCGCTTGCTGGCTTCACGCGATCTGAGCGCTCGCAAGTTTTTCCATGGGCCAGCGCCGCATGCCGCGCAATGGATGGCAGCCAACAAATCAGGCCTGACGTCATCATCAGTGACCACGTCTGCAGGCGCTGGAACAACAAAGCTACGAACTCCGTGAATCTGTGAAGGGTGGAAAGCAAAAAAACTTGTTTTCCCAATCTTTCCAACACTCCTCGAAACCCACAAAATCTTGCTCTAGAGATTTGATGTCCTTGTAGAAGAGATGCAAAAGCCTGGGAGAAAACTGGGTGGGGGTGGATCAGAGGAACACGCGCAAAAGGAAAAGAATGCAAATTCTACCACGACCCCAAAGCTGCACCTAAGAAGAAACCCTCAGCTGCCGCAGGCGAGAACGAGAACAAACCGAAACCAAAGCCTGGGCCCAAGCCCAAAGGGAAAGCCGGAGCGCCGGCAATAGGCCAGTATGAAACAGTGGAAGAATCTCATAACGAAGGAATTGCAGCCACGTGAGATATTGGTCATGTTTGCGCAGAAGAAGGCCAGGCTACCACCTCAATCCGACGAGAGGATGAAGAAGATTGCAAAGAACCCAGATCCAAACATCTTCAAAAGGTTGGAGAATATTTTGACTTCGAGAACGCATACGAAGCAATAGCAACATATGGTCATGGAACCTATGCACCAGGAATCAGTGAACGGCGCCAAGCAGCTACATCGTCAACAGAGGACATGCCACGCGCAAAGCCATCGGAAGCGCTGGGGCTATCCCGACAGACTTTTGTCAGCCATCCAACATCGACGTCAGCGCAATGGCAGCCACAACTGAATCCTAAAGGCAAAGGGAAACAAGGATCTCATCCCAGAGGACAGGATGAAGGAGACCACTACCAATGGCGTGGTAAAGGAATCAATGGCATGAGTCATGAGCGAAAATGGTAAAGATTCCCCGAATGTTTTACCGAAACAGCTTCATACAAACTCAAAGATATCCATTGCAAAACCATTTCGATTGGAGTTGAAGCCACAAACAAGAAAGCTCAATTTTGGGACTGCATCGTGCTAAAGAGGTACTGAGAGAGTCTCTGAGCGTCTGAGCGTGGTAATTCGACATCCACTTGAATTAATTTTCTCATTTAGAGATATAGTTGTGTAGAGCCAAGTACATATGTAAAGCCCGCATTGTTCAACCAGACTTGGTAGTAGAGATTCTAAGATTTCACGGCGAACATTTATCTCCCAATCTCTCGGCCCTACCCTTGTACTGTAATTTAAGTGTGCATGAGGAGTCGAAGACAACTCAAGCATGGGGGGTGCCAATAGCAGTGCAGCGAGAGTGGCAACACCATATACAGCATAGCATGTACAAAGCGCACCATGTACAGTGCATTGCGACCATGACTTTTGGCTCAAGCATTCTCATCGGAAAAAGAGTACGCAGGTCTATTGCCATGAGGAAGTCATAGGTGATAACACCCACACGCAAATAGCATTGGCGTACGCACGCATATTAGAAGGGGCCAAGAGACTTATTGGATCGCTTGTGTTGACTTGTGCCTGATGGAGGTCGAGGCCGCTTGGTCCCAAAGCACCCCTATGAGAACTTTTTGGTGCCGATAGCAGAGTGGATGGGGGTGGAGCTGTCGCAGATGAAGGAGTCAGTGGATCTGGGTGAACAGAAGAGAGGTTTGGAAACATGGGCTGCCCAAGGATGTGGTCGCTTGTTGGCTTGTTGGCTGACATGAAACATATAGCCTTGCATGCAACAACAACTATTGGTCATATTTTTTTTTCGACGCGCGGTTTGACATGGTTTGACGATCCCATTCCGCCGATGCCACGGTCGGGGTTGGATGTCGCTCGCGGTCGCTCTCGGTCCGTCGGTCGTTTCTACATCGACCATGTCTGCCAGTGAAACGTTTGTTTTGAGGATCACTCTCTGCCTGACAACTGATGTTTTTTTTGTTTTGTGTTTACTTATGAAAGACTGAGACTCGTTTTTCTGCAAGGCATGATGGGGCACATGCAAAACGACTCACCCAGTGTTACGAGTGTCCGCCTTCGGTTTGGATGACCCTGAGGATGTCTTCCCGAACTTCTTCAGATTCAATCGAAGCAACCACATTCAGGTTTCAGATTTGTTCCGGAGCTGATGCCGAACAAATGAGGATTTGATCCGTTCCCGATTTGCAGTAATTTGCGGAATTTTATCCGATGCCCTAGAGGTCTCATGCCGCGACAAGCGGCACCTGTTGTAGCACGATGCCGGTCCAATGCTGAAGCGGCTTCGAGACTGTGAGTCGGCATGAGTCGGCCACTTCCGTGATTCTCCACGGATCGTGCAGAAACCATGTCACACATCGTGCGGCTTCCAGAGAAGTCACATCATCAAGCGATATTTGTGGTGCGTCACACATTTGGTTCCCGTCCTCCACCAAAAAAGGCAGTCCGAGAATCCCAAGAATCTGATCAGAACTATTTGTCGGCGCCCAAAGGACAAGAGACACGTCCTGAAGAGGAGATCTGATAGAAATTCAATCATGCTCAACGGTGATGCTACCTGTTTTGCGGATGTTTCCATGCGTTGATGAACCATTCTTTTGCATCACGGGACGGGATATGGTGGGCCATCCCAGAGTGTCAGACTTCTCATTCCGGTTGTGGCAGGTGAGGAGACGGAGCACAAATGCAAGCAAACACGCCTTTAGGAACAATGTGACAGCCACTTTGTTTGGCCGCGGGCTTGGTGTGGCAGTGCCCGGGTAGGAGTTTGTTGTTTTCTTTAGGTGATATGACACAGCATGCCTGGCAAGTCTTTCCCCCAGGTGAGCA